GGTTGATCGACAGGCCCTTCTCGTGGGGATGACCAAGGCAATTTGGCAAGCAGCGCGCACCACCAGATTCCTTGGGAGGGAGGTGATAGTTTAGACCTCCATAAAGGGGTCCCCACCAATCCCCTGTCAAGGGGCATATTCTATCATACTAACGTGGCCCAAAGCGCGACTGGACGGACATGCTGCCCAACCTGCTTTCCAGCATTCAGAAAGCCGGCCAAGCGCCGGAAGGCGCTTTGCAACGAGTTGCATCCTGTCTGAATCCGTCCCGAAAAGCAAGGGCACAGCACCAACAAGCACCAAACAATTCCAGCAAGGATGCACACAAGGATATACGCAAGGACACTGAAAACAGCCGCGCTACACCCGTATAAGGCAGCCCAGCTGCAAATGTGCGGATGGTCTAAGATGGACATTGTCACTGCCTCCTTGCGAAACATGAGCTCCCCCTCCTTGCTCTTGCAACACGTCTTCCATGCCCGTGCAGTGCCAGAGACTCGGTCCTTGGCATTGCAGGGGCTGAGCAACGAGGTCAATCAAAGAGGGCAGAGAAGGAGCAGGGCCAAAAACCCATTGAATGAGTGTTGGTTCTACTACCCGCTGCCCCAAGGGTCTGGGGCTTGGCATGCCGATGCCACACCCGAGTTGCTTTCGGGGTGTCAAAAGGACATAAAGGACATATTTTGAGGCCCCAAACTGAGCTTAGGGTAAGATGGTTGTAGGTAATAAACGTTTATGGAGGGCTTACTATAACTCCTATGAACCAGGCAGTAGGACCAACCAAACTGGCCCATCGGGGTCTTGGGGGCTGATCAAATGGAACTTGAGCCAGGGCAAAGGAATTCCTACTTCGGGTGGCTCGATTCGCTTTGGCAATTTGGGTGCATGAAAAAAAAATCCGCGCGCCGAGTGTCAAGGGCCTTCACCACGGAGCCGAAGGAGCCTTTGCCCAGGACCTCCCCGAGCTCGTAGCGGGCAATGGACTTGGGCCCCCGCTTCTGCACCATGAAACTCCGCGAGCACATGGCGCGATGCTCAGAGACTTAGCTCGCGAGCGACTTAGCTATCGACTCGCAGCGGAACAGGCCCTGCGGAAATTCATGTGCAAGCGGAACTCGGTTGCTTTCTGCTCCCCTGCTAAAAGTTTAACTTTTAGTGGTTTAATGGAAAACCCATTGGTTGGCAAAAAGTAAAAGTCCTAACATCCAGGCAAAATGCAACAAAGGGAAGGTCTTCGCTAGGTCTGGGGCTCTGGTCACCCTCTTGTTTCTTGCTCGTGATGCTTGAGTCTGAGTGGCACTCAAACGAATATCGCCCGGCAAAAGGACCGTGCTTCGAAGCAGTTCTTTTTCATATGCTTCGACTGGCTCCGCGGGCAAACGCGACCTCAGCCTTTCAAGGCTACGAGCCAGAGACGAGTCAAGGCCAGAAGGCAGCACCAGAGCGAATGGGGATAACCAGAATTCCCTGATCCACCCTAATTACCTTGAGGGGGAGGGGGGGGCGGGGACCCCCAATTCCATTTTTTCTATCTTCTCCATAAAAGAGAAAAATGAACTGTTAATGGAATTCCAGGTCACACCCCTACCCCATTTCCTTGTTTCCCCACGATGTTCCGCAAATGTCCCAAAAAACCCTGATTGCATTCCCACACCCAAAGGACACTTTGAGTTTACAACCCTGAATTGAAGGTGGTTTGGGGGATGCTGAGCAAAACAAAACATCCACGATTGGTTTCCGAGCTTCAACTTAAGCGCTCAAAAGACGCCACTCACTTGGGGCAACCAAGCCGGCCTTCCCAAGCAACGTACACCCACCTATTTGGGCCACTTTCTTCACTGGTACGGGGGAGAGGGGGAGGAAGGAGTCCCAAGGAGCCTTTCAAAAGCCTTTCGTGGCAATGCTCAGGTCATATTTGATTCTGGTCCAGATCAATAAATATTGGCACAGACCGCAACCAGTAACATGTGATAGTCAATCAAGAGATCCCAGGCGGGTACTTTTCCAAGATCTCAAGTGGATTCCAGCAAAGAGTTTGGCCAATCAGTGACAAAGAAAATCACTGGCAACGGGTTTTTGGATGTCCATCCAGTCCACCCTTGGATTCCATGTCCGTCAGAACTCCTGGTCTTTTGCTGCTTCGTAGCTCCTTTGCCAAAACTTGGAGACCCAGATTCGTAACGGCTCCCTTCCAATCTGACAACTGCCAACTCGCTTCCGATCGAGTGGATGGGCCAAAAAAAAGTAGCCAAACTTTGCGCCGTCTTGCGCCCCCAAAAGTGACAAGCAACGTCCGAAAAGGAGCTGAGGAAATGAGTTACCCCTCCCTCCAGACCATGATGTGGTCTATGTTGCTCCAAAAATTACCTTTTGGTGGGAATGGAGTGAAGCCACTTGTCCAAATTAATGGAAGCCCCCTGGCCCCTGAATCGGTGCCGTGGCCCCACACGTCACCAAGACCTCTGCCAGCGTGGAGTGGCTGCCAGCCTTGCACTTAACCCAAACCCGCGAGCGCCCCGCAGCGGTGTGGATAAACCCTTTTATGGATGTGTCTTTTTTAAGGTGACCCCCCGCATATGGCTTCGGTGTTCTTTTGGTTTTCCTTCAAAAGCCATTAAAAAAGGCAAAAGACCAAACAAACAAAAACGGTAACCTCGTAAACAAGGCTCACCCTTATGGGTTAAAGAAGTTAAGAGCTTTCAAAAAGAAGTGACCTTACTTTTCCAGGGTTTGGCCAACTTGTGACAACGATTCAATGACCAATTGTTTACACAACCGCTGTTGGGTTTCCCCTTTGACTCATCTGCCCAAAGTTGGGGCCCAAAAAACGAAGGCAAGGCCTGGGCCTGGAAGACTGGCATTTCCAGCGGGGCAGGCGGCCGCTTCAGAATTGATCACCCCCTTTGCCAGTTCAAGGAAGGCCAGAAGGAGACCAACGATTTTGAGGACCACCATACTGAGAACCCCCCCAAATTGAGGTCGTGCCGATACGGTGGGTACATGAAAGGCCCACCGTGCTGGTCGCATCATTTCTCTGCGCAGCCGAGTGATGTGAGAGGACCTGATCCTAGGGATTGGGGACCCCTTCGGTTTTGTCCCACCCCAAACTCCCGCAAACTGGCTGCTTTTTTGCAGCCTACAAAAAGAAAGAGAACCTCCAAAAAGAGCCTAAACCAACATGCCAACAAAAACAGGAATATTCACCCAGGATTCGACACCTACGAGGCGACAGCTATGGCCGGTCGCAGGTCTCCGAATTCCAGGCTCGAAACCGAATTTCTCGCAGACGCCCGGCGCCCTGGGGATTTTTGGCGTCGATGTCGCCGCCAAACCTCACAGGCCACTGCCTCACCTCACTTGGCAAAACAAAAACTATTTCAAAGGGTTGCGTGACAGGAAATCCTACGGTGTTTTGGGGCCATTTCCTGTAGATGTTCCTGTAACCAAACTTCTTGAATGTTGAGAAACTTGTTGTTTTCTACGAACGGTCCCAGCCCCAAAACAGCGTCTCAACTAAGTCCTCCAGTAGAGAGGTCAGAATAAGGGTACCCGTTTTTCTGTAGTCTACTTTAGTAAGGGAACCCTCGCCCAAAAAAGGGTAAAAGGGCACTACTGGGGGACCTAGTGTTGTTTACTACGAACGGTCCAGCTCCAAACAGTGTCTAAATTAAGTCTTCCAGCAGAGAGGTTAGGCTAAGGGTACCCTTTTTTTCCTGTAGCCTATTTTAGTAAGGGAACCCTCCCCCAAACAAAAAACAAAAGGGCACTACTGGGGGACCTACTGTTATTGACTACTACTGGTCTAGCCCCAACAAGTGTCCAAGGTCCATGAACTCAGGGAGTGAGAAAAGCGTAGTGGTAAATAACCCGAAAGCTGCGATAAAGTGGGATTCCCATCCCCACTTGAAACTTTAGCACTTCGGGTATTCCCGTGGTATCACGGAAAGTGGCAACCTAAAACCAAACTGTCCACATGATCAAAGCCGATTTGCCCGCGTCTCGAAATGAGAGAACCTCGCATTTTATGCGGTTTTCCTTGCCCTTTTCTTTCCTTTTGAAGCTAAGCAATCCGACAGGGGAACCTTTCAATATCTTTCAAAACACAAACACAAACAACACAAACAAGATGTCAAAGCGGTCATCTGACTCACTGGATTGACCCAAAAAAGTCTGAGTTTGTTGTTTTTCACTAAAAAAGGTCCAGCCCCAAAAAGTAATTAAAACCCAACTCCATCGGAAGCGAGTTCCACACATGACAAAGCTTCTAAGTCCTCCAGTAGAGAGGTTAGAATAAGGGTACCAACTGTTTCTGTGGTCTATTTTAGTAGGGGTTAGAAAGGGCACTACTGGAGGCCTAGGCTTTCAGGCAAGTTGCTCCGGCTGGTACCGTGGCCACGTGCTTCCCATCGCAGAAGAAGGCCGTGGTGTCGTTCCGTCCGATCGCCCTGAGCCAGTGCCAGTCTGGCGAGAGCTCTTGCCACCGGAAGGCTGCTGCAAGCAACCCCACCTCAGGGCACACTCCAAGGGCATTGGAACCATGGAGCCAACAAAGGGTGTGAACTAGTGTAAACCACAAAGAAGTAAGCTGACCTGTCTAGTCATTCCAAACGAAACTTGATTTGTTTGTCTCCCTCTTACCAAGCAGGCAAATGTTAAGCGTTTCTGTAGACCAAACCTCAAGGCAACTCATTCCGGAATGGGTTGGCCCGAACGTCCGAACTTTTTGCTTTGCCACCCAAATGGGCTTCTGCCTGAGGCGTATATATTCCAATCTCCTGGTTGCGGGTCAGCAGCAGGAGCCCGTGTGAGGCGTCTTGAGATTTAGCAAAGGCCAGCACTCTTTGACGGGCATCATAACGGCACCTCCTCTGGTTACCCCCGCCCCTCCCTCGCGGTTTCGACACTATGGCCCGGTTGACAATACATACATAATAATAATGATAATGGCTAATAATAGTAATTAATAATAATACAGCATAATAATAATGGTAATAACAGTAATAATAATTCTAATAATTATATATGTGTATATATATATATGGATATGTATATGTGTATATGTATATATAGTTCTGAGAAGCATATGTTTGGGGCTGGTGGGACTGCAAACAACTGGGTACAAATGGAGAACAATCACCACGGTGTCGAATTTTGGTCAACCCAATCGAATCTACCGAAATGGGATGACTCAGAATAGTACGACTACGGGGCGACCCACTGTGCTACTTGAACCGTCCGGCAATGGGGACACAGTTGACCCTTGCAAAGGTGTGCACCCGAACCCTTGAGCCGCTTGATTGGAAGACAGCTGATCAAAAGGCTCACAGGTCTTGCATCCCTGCCGGATGGGTCCCTGTGTGATCGATCTTCAAGCGGTCTGACAGAACCCGGGTCGCTCCAAGCACCCCTGCCATGTTTCTTAAAGCAATGAAGGACTCGCTCAGGGAGTCAAAAACAGCAGGAAAAAGTGTGTCCTAGCCCCCCCCCCCCCCTCAAGATCTAACATCGCTCACAAAGTAGTTGCCACTGCCATTTGGTCTGGTAAGCGGGGGTGTTAAAAAAGGAAGCTGGAAGATTGGACAACTTCCGTGCCCTTTCGGTTGTCAAGGATGGAATAGCCAGCCCGGGCCTCAATGGCTATGAACAAACACATGGTCACCCTTCATTTGGTACGTGGTTCGGCCCCCTCGCTCAAGATCCTCTGCCCCAAGAGTGAGCAACGCCCCAGACCCTGAAACGTCGCTTCTTTTCGTTGGTTTTCAAGCGCCCAACGAAAAGGAAACAAAGGGGCGCCACTGAGAGGCCTGGGCTGGGGGGGGTGGGGCATGATGGCATGGTGGGGACGCTTAGGGCATTGACTTCCTTTTTTTTAAAGGATCCCTTGGCCACAACAAAAAAATCTACTCTCAGTCTCCATGGCGCCGGGGGGGGGGGCGGCGAAACCTCTTTCGCTAGAAGCAGCTCCTCGGCGCCGGGCGCGCGGTGCTGGAATTCCAGGCGCACGGCTGCCAGAGGACTTGCAGGTCCCAGCGGCTGAAGCTCGATCCGTCGAAGCCGGAGCGTTCGCGCGCCTAAAACCCACGGCTCCGGCCCCAAACAGCCGCCAGTCCAACATGGAACTCGCCAAAAGGTTTCTTTTTTAAAGGAACAAATGCTTCCAAGACCCTATGAGTTATGAGGTTCCAGGTTTGTGGAGGGGAGGGTCATACTTTCTGACTCTGGTGTATATTTAGTCTACCCTAAAATATAACATACTTTTCTTAAACCGTTTTCGAGGAGACTCCGGTTAACATGCTGGTTTAGAGGGACACCGAAAAAGGAATTGGAGAACCCACGGATCGCGTCGTGCTCACGTTTACTTCCAAGCCGTGTGGGAGCCTCAAACAGGCAAGCAAAAATTCAGCCTCCCTCCAATAAGTTAAGATATGCGGGGACCGCAGGTTTTTAGTCTACTCCACTTACCAGGGCTCCATTGTACCTATTTTTGACCCACAGCCGTTTGGAATGGCGCTGAAGTCGGGGCTCCAGGGCTTCCCATTTACCCTCTACCAGGGGAGTTGCCGGGCCCTCAGATCCCCTGCCACTTTGATCTTCAGTGGTTTGGTGAAAACTACCACGAAACCCGCTAAAAAGCAAAAAGCAAAAACTTAAGCAGCTGGCGATCGGGCGCGCCACCAAGCCATGATTAGAGTTAGGCCCAGTCATAGAATGTAGCTTTTGTTGTTTGCTTCACTTTGAGTCACTGGTAGAACGTAAAATGTATCCTGAGTCCACCCCAGAAGCCTGGAGAAAAACATCCAACTTCGCCCTCCTGTCTGCGGGCCTGGGCGAGACGCAAGCGCTTCATGCGCCGCGACTGCGAAGCTGCTGGCGGGAGGTAGGGCCCCCGCAGCCCCCGCAGCCGCGGGAGCGAGGTGCGGAGGTCCCAGGTGAAGCGAGGCATCTCAACCATGGCGTGCCAAGGTCCAAAACACCGCGATCTTGAAGGTTTTCCCTTTGGTTTTCGGCCAAAAGCAACCCAGAAAGGGCAGATCTTGTTTTTTTCGGGTTGGAGATGGCTTCGGTTTTCCCCTTGGTTTTCCTTTAAAACCAGCAAAGAAGAAGGTTCCCAAACACAGCATGATAAAGGGCTACCCCAAGGTTCCTTTCATTTGTATGTCAGAATGTGGTTGCTTAATTTCAGGTCCCATCTGAAGAAACACCACAACAAAGACTCCACAAAGACAAACACCCAAACAAGAACACCACTGTGGAAAGTAGGTCAAACCGAGCTCACAAAGGTACTCGAGTTGTGAGAAAGCGGCCCCAACAGCGTTGCTCGGTTGGGATAATGATTCTTTCTGCACAGCATCCGGCCAACAAACCTCAAGCAAGTTTGCAGGCGGAAGCTTGGTTGCTGCTGACCCCCTGCGAAAAGTGAATAACTTTTCAAATTTGGCACAAAACACCCCAAATGATTTCAACCCAAAATTCAAAGTCTAAAGATCCAACCCAATAGCAGTCAAGTTTGGATGTGGCTCAAAACAAAAGAACTGGGGTTGCCCAGGTTTTAGTCTTTGTTCCATTTACCATGGTGCCATGTTGGTGCCATTTATTTGAGCCACAGCCATTCAAGTCAAGGGCTACATTGCCTGCCGGCTTCCGCGCTGGTTCCTTCCTTTGCCTTTTGACACCTCGAGCCGTCCAGAACGGTCGGCGCAGTCAAATGGCTGTGGTTGTCAAAAATAGGGTAACCCCAAAATGGAATCCTGGTGAATGGAACCATGGACCAAACCTGCGGTCCCCTGGTGGTTCAATTTTGACCCATACCCAAATATGCTTCCGTGCTTTGGTGCTGCGGCCACTTCGTTGCCGGCCAGAGATCTGTGGGCGTTCTGGAAAAAAACATGCTGGAGATAGAGCCATCATATCAACCAGTGTCTGTCAAGAGACGTGTTTCTGTTGGTTCCTGCGGAGATGGGGTGGTTTTAGAGGCTAACACTTTGCTCTGTGGTTTCGAAGGCAACCAACAGGAACGCCGAAGCCATTTTGCGAGGCTCCCCGAAAAACGCATCTCCCGAACTCATTCCATCAAACAAAAAACGTCCTCAGGAAACCCGGATGAGCAGCTCCCCGACGAGAAAAAAAAAAACACGAACGCCCAAGGAACGCTTCTCGACGTGGGCACCGACCTTTGCAACGCGATGAGGCAAAGCAGCTCATGCAACATCCGAGTTCAAAGCTCAAAGCCCTTCTTGATCGCTTCAAGGCAAGGCAAATAAAGGGCCAGCAAGCAAGGACATATCATGAGTTTTCTGGTAATGACAACTTCCATCTAAATCCAATTCCAGGTTGGATTTAATGCCACAAATCAGGTGCCACAACAACTGAAGATAACAGGGCCCATGGGCACTTGTATAGAAGTCATGTTATGCTGCAAACCCACCATACCCCCTTCCCCCCCTCAAAAAGAACAATAAACAATACAAAAACAAACAACAACACAAACATCTAAACAAAGCAAAAGAGCACAACTTGCCAAGCATGTCCTGTTGTTCCCCCCCCAAAGAAAAAAGACACGACACAAATAAACAACAACACACATGTTTTCCCTTGGCACTGCCGTGGCTTCACTTTGACTTCCCCGTGGTTTCCCCTTCCGCGTCGCCCGCCCAAAAGTTTTTAACTTTTTGCAGGTTAAAAGGAAATACGAGGGGACTCCAAAAAGTTCTCCAGTCCAAAGACCCAACCCAGCGCCAGAGTTGGCCTCGCCCGTGCCGAGGTTTCCCCTTTCGCGTCGCCGTTTGGGCGACGAGCGCCGGCCTTGCGGGCCACCGACTTGGCCTCCTTGATGGTGCGCTCCGCCACGGCCTCAAGGAGCGAGCTGCCGTGCATGGGACCGGATGCCACGTGTTTTGTTTTTTTGTTTTTTGGACATAGAAAAGTTGTCCGTGAAATCCGAATGCATCACATATATATATATATATATGTGTAAATATGTATATATATATATATGTATATGTATGTATGTGTGTATATACTAGGTCCTCCAGATTTGAGAGGTTAGAATAAGTTGGTACCCGTTCTTTTTTCTGTAGTCTGTTTTAGTAGGGGAACCCTCCCCCAAAAGAAAGTAAAGGGGCCCCAGTACCTAAATAAATACATACATACTTTTATGTAGATATAGGTATACATATACATATAGTGAAGCCAATCGATTTCTGGGTTTTCCTTTAGGTTTCCCCGAAAAAACACACCAAAAAAGGGGCTCCCTCAAAGAAATCCCGGCCCTCTACAAATTCCCCAAGACCAAGACCTGGAACTAATTGGATATCCAGGTAAGGGGCTGCCACGCTGAGCTGAGGCCGCTGCGATGTTCCCGGAGGACAAATGCAGACCTGCCACCTATTCGGAGTGCAGGCGGAATGAGTCACTTGCTCAAAACCCGGTACTGAAATGGTCGACCCAGAACCATGCTTCAAGAATTAAGAAGGTACATGCTAGCCCCAGCTTTGACCCCCTGTTTTGAGCACCTCAGCTTTGAAAGTCAAAGTACTTTTCAAACCACGGCTGTCATGTTTACACCATCCGTCTTGGAATTGCTTACAGGTTCTTCCCTGAGTTGGGCGAATAGGGGAACTCCTCAAAAGGGTGCATTCCCTGATTCCCCTTGAAGCAACCCAAGAAGGGTACCCTCCAAAACAAAAAACACACACAGACACAGACACACACAAACACACTTCTCGGTGATTCAACTTCACGGAAACCCCATCCAAAGAAGAAAACCACCGGGGTGCCGGGGTGCCATCGTAAAACGTGGCCGAACTCGCAAAGTGAGGAAGGATATTTTGGGCTCAAGACACCCAGAGGGTGCATTCCGCATGGACTTCACAGCCCTCATGGACTCGGTTTTGGTCCATTTCTGTTGATTCGATCCGCCGCATTTTGCCTCTCCAGGGGACACATCTGACTCTCTCGCTCCGGACCTAGCATCCAGCTTGAACCTGTACATGCGGTGCAACCGTCCATCCACATCCCCTGGTACTCGCAGCACCTCCCAGATCAAGCCATGGGAATCGCTCCCGCGGCTCACCTTCGACTCAGATATGCCTTCGACTCCCAAAGCCTGGTCTACTTCATGGACTCCCTCTCGCTGCTCCTCGGCTCTCAGTTTCTCACGTCCGCAAAGGACCTGGACATGAAAGGTGGTCACCTTTTGGAACCCCGACCAAAAAAGTGAAAGCAGAAGATCAAAAGGTTGGCTTTGGGCAAATGAGTTTTCCCCCTGGCACAAAACGCAACTAAGTGTTTGATTGTGGTATCGGAATCGGCCGAACTATGTGAGCCCGCGTTAAGCCAGCAAAGCAACATAAACACACAACACAAACAGCACCCGTCAATGTTCAACAACAAACAAACAAACAAACAAACAAACAAACAAACAAACAAACAAAACAACACAAAAAAAAACAAAAAAAAAAAACAAAAGACACACACACAACACAACACAACACAACACAACACAACACAACACAACACAACACAACACAACACAACACAACACAACACAACACAACACAACACACAACACAACACAACACAACACAACACAACACAACACAACACAACACAACACAACACAACACAACACAACACAACACAACACAACACAACACAACACAACACAACACAACACAACACAACACAACACAACACAACACACACACACACACACAACACACAACACACAACACACAACACACAACACACAACACACAACACACAACACACAACACACAACACACAACACACAACACACACACACACACACACACAACACACAACACACAACACACAACACACAACACACAACACACACACACAACACACAACACACAACACACAACACACAACACACAACACACAACACACAACACACAACACACAACACACAACACACAACACACACACACACAAAACCACACACACACTGAACAACAAACAAAAAAACAAAAACACACACACACACAGACACACACACACACACACAAACACAGAGGCACAGGCACAGGCACAGGCACAGGCACACACACACACACACGCATCCACGCATCCGCGCAGGCAGGCAGGCTTTCACGAACGCACGCACGCACGCACGTGCGCACGCACGTGCGCACGCACGCAGGCGCACGCAGGCGCACGCAGGCGCACGCAGGCGCACGCAGGCAGGCGGGCAGGCGGGCAGGCACGCACACGCACACGCGCACGCCCGCCCGCACGCACACGCACAAACACACAAACCCACAAACCCACACACACACAAACACGCAAACACACACACACACACACTCACACTCAAAATCAACAAACAATACGAGCAAACACATACACAGACACAAACACGAGCAAACACACACACACACAAACACACACAGACACAGGGTTCACAAAGACAAACAGAGTGTATGACGAAATGCACCATGCAGCTTTGCAAAATATCTCTGAACAGCACAGCAAGTCACAGGTTGGCGAACGGCAATGCACTCTGCTCACAGAACCATACAGCCAACAAGTGGGTCAAAACCAATGGTACCATTTTTGGGTAGGGGCACCTCCCATTTAGTCTATTTTAGTGGGGATTGGGATGTTCACTGGAGATACGGGAGTTTGACCCATGCCCACATTGCAAGACATTGTGCTAGCACGTGGTCTCAGCTTCCCTCTAATTGGTAGTTTTGCGTGGTGATTTGGATGCTAAGGGGGTACCTTCCCCATTTCGCTTCAAAAGGAAGTGGGCCAAACCACCACTGCAAACCAGCAACTAAGGACCCGATGGTCGGTTGCTGCGACAAATGGCTTTAACCGATGCTTTGACCTTTTGAGTGCGGCCCTCCATCTCTGGAGCCAAAACTTCAGGTACCAAAGCTCCTAGGCTCCTAGGCTCCTAGGCTCCTAGGCTCCTTGGCTCCTAGGCTATCATGCGGTGCCCAAACACGAGCTGTGTGCCCGCCGATTCAGAAGTCCCCCCAGAATTAGAACGGCGAAGTGGCCGAGCCCATGCCGAGCCTTGGGGTGCCTGACATGTTTGCTCGAGTTCTGCAGATCCCTGCACGCAAACCAGGTTCTCTCGGTGGGGGGAACCTCCGAGCTAGATCACTTTCCTTTGGTCACCCCGCAGAGGAATCAAAAAAAAGAGAAAAACAAAAGAGCACCAACCAACCAACCAACCAACCAACCAACCAACCAACCAACCGACTGACCAACCAACCAACCACCCAGCCAGCCAGGCAGGCAGGCAGGCAGGCCACAAACAACAAAAACAGTTGCTGTTGACTCCTCTACAACCAGTCTTTCATTTTTATCGATATAGAAAATCCGAGCTGTTTCAACCAAAAAGTGGTTTAGTCCAGAGATCCGTTACCACAATCGCCATCAAGCTAGAGGAATACACTACCGGCACAGATTTTTGGACCCCTTGAACTTTGTTACCTGCCCCTTCACCCAGAAACAAACCATGACTCGCTGGTCCTGTCCAAGTCGCTGGCTCGCCGGTGACCAAAATGCCCTCGCCGCCGCCCGTGCTCTCCAGAAGTCGCCGCAAAGTGCCCAGCACGCTGACCGCGTGGCTGGCGTCGTAAATGATATCCGCTCCAAGGATCAGGTCAACCTCACAACGCAGAAACCACCCAGAGAACCCCCATGACCCTAAGTAGAACAACACAAAACAATTACCCATCCCTGCTGGTTTCGCTAAGGTATCATATAAAACAGGCCTTGCCTTGTGCGCGGCCCCACTTGAGCTGCCCTAAAAGTTGAACCCTGTCTAAATCCACCAATTGAATGCTAGGAGAGAACTACAAGAGGAACAGAAGAGGAGGGGCTCAAAGGCTTTGAGACTCCAAGGTGAGGCATCCATACTGTTTCTGGAACGCAGGCTGTGTTCCCTTCATGGCCCAAACATGGAGGCTTACCATCCAAGATAACGTGCTAGCTCCCGAAGTATTTGGGCCTTCCCTGAGATCCCCAAACATGATGCTTTTCTGTTGGTCTCTCTTTGCATCAACCCCAAAGAGGTCGCAAGCCCAAAAAAATCACCCCCCGAGTTCCTGGCTCCTGGAAAGGCATTGGACTCAACGCTTGATCAAACAGCCTTGCTGGTGCGATAAGTAGGCAATGTGGGAATGAACCTGAGGGTCCCCTTGAAGGAAACCACCAGCTGGACGCTTTACAGGGTTCATTGCCTCATTCCCTGCTGAGCACCAGCAGGTTGCAACGGGGCACATCTTTAACAGTGGGTAAACTGGAATTTTCGGATCGGCACGTCGCCAAACATGCTCAGGGCTGCTGTTTGGCTGTCCTTTATCCCAAAAACCTTGGCCATCGGTTTGATGCTGCCGATGGCCATGGGAAAGAAGCCCAAATGGCGACGCCAAGACTCATGCAAATCATGCCCCATATGAGATTCGTGTCAATGTAAGTTTAGCTCAAACTGAAGCTCTGCCGTCGAGCTCCGTTGACACTCCCACCAACACGTGGCCATGCACCACGAATCACATTAGCGCGTGACGTCCCGCGCGCCCATAATGTATTCTGTAGTTGCATGACTTCAGCCAGCCACTTGGCCCACCAATGCGTTTCAACCCGTCACCTGAATGCATGGGCGCCGCAACCCCAGACAACGGAAAAGAATCCCTGGCGTCCCGCACAGAATGCCAGTAAGACATACAGGACCATTTGATCAGAAGAACTAAACCGCTGAGCACGAAGCCTTCCAATTGCGGTCGAGGTCACTGGAGGCAGCTCGGGGAGGGGCCCCCCGGAGGCGACATCTTGCCAGTCCAAAGCTTGAACTGAGACCAGGTCCTCCATCGATGCCAAGGACAGGGATCCATATGCATTCTACACCTGAACATTGCAACTTGTCAATGGTGGTTTCCAACTCTATTTCGCTGTTGAAAAAGCCAGCCATGTTTCAAATGGCTGGTTGCAAAATGGCGATCTCTTTTAAGGAGCCCTGGCAAGGACAGCCTACGTCCCTACGGGAGCTGTTGGACTTTGGGCTCCAGGAAGTGGAACCATCCCAGAAGGCCGGAAGCTCAACAACGTGGCAAGTGAAGACAGGAAAACACAGGAAAAAGGGGAAGAAGTAAACACGGAAACTGCTGTTTGCCCCAGCTCAAAGGGATCCTTTCCGGACACATGCAATCACCGTTCATCAGGGTTCAGCAAAACAAAGTCCAAAGCATGGAGCAATTGCGGAGCAATCCACACGCGCATTTTAGGCCGCTTGTTGCGTGTCGCCGTGTTTGCTTTTGGGCTTGGCTGCGTGAACCAATACATATCAGGGGATCAAAGAGAACCGAAGAGGACCCAAAACGACTGAACCAAATGGGGGAGGCCCAAATTCTGACCCAATTATCTTCGGCTACCTTTCTCTTTTGACCTCTCCCAACTGGTTTGGCGAGTTGCTTCACTGATCACCACATATCACCAAAGAACCCAAGAAACAAGCCAACGAAACCAAACCAAACCTCACCAAACAAACAAACATACAAAAACGCCAAACACGCCAACCACGGCACACCCATGGCACACCCCAAATCAACGGCGCTGCGTTTGCTTTTCTCCGCACTTCGGCCACCCCGCGCGCTTTTTTGGGGGGTCCTCCATGGAGTTCAAGGCCACCGAGCGGCGGCAGGCCGTGAGCAGCGCTTCGTCGTAGTCCGTGAGGACCACGGAGGCCGCCCCGAGCCGCGCGCAAGCCTCGGACGCTCCGACGACGGCGGCGGCGGATTTCCGGAGTCGGAGTTGGTTGGGTGTCCGGTGCGGTGGCCGGATGTGAGCCTCGGCCTGTTCAAAGCCCCTGGTTTAAAGGGTCTGTTTGCTGATCTATGTAGAGCAGTTGTTCCGTGACTCTGATAGAAAAGGGAAACCCTTGGTGGGGTTCCCTAGTTAATTTGGGGGTGGTTGTTCCGTGACTCTGGTAGAAAAGGGAATTTCTTGGTGGGGTTCCCTAGTTGATTTGGGGGGGGGTTGCAAACAAACAAACAGCAACAAAGGGTGCGGGTAGATGCTCCACTTTGCGATTTATTTCGTGCTCAACTTTCCGGGTGCAGGACCCGGTTCAACTGCAAATGGCGGGTTGGACCTATCAGACCCCGGCTCCCACCAGCTTGCAGTAGCCTGCCATCAACACCGACTAACATGCAAAACGAAATGCACCAAAGCTTCCAGTTGCTTCAGCCTGGACAAAATGAACATATGTCCAGTAGTGATAGATTCCCTCTATTAAACCCAACAAGGGAAACATGATGTTCTTTAGCAAATGGAAGTACGCCCTTTGGAAAACCAGACTAAGTCTTAGAATTAAAGAGGCCTACTTTCAGAATTCTCACCGGGTCAGGGCACCCAACCACTCCCTCCCTCAGTGGATTGGTCAAGCAAAGTCCAGGATTGTTTCTTGCCCCTAAGCTGACGGTCCCAAACAAAAATTGAAGTCCACTGAGCAAGTAAGTCTATACCCTTTTCAGGTTGTTTCAAGGAATGCAAGCCCCTCAACCATGGGGAAGAAGGAAAGCGGCACGCTTCGGTCAACGGAAACCTATCCGAAAGGAAAACACCGCACGAATTGAAAGCTTGAGCGGTTTTTTTGGGGCAATCAATCCACCCCTACTATGTTGGTTCATGCTAGTTCTTAATACTGTCCCAGCAATACCCCGTTACTTTTTTCTATCGCCTGAACCCTCGCTTTCCATGGGCTAAAGACAGAAATTGGCACGGGATCGCGGCTGCTGGAAAACCCAAGCGAAACAGAACCAGCCCCGGGCCGGTCTTTTCTAGGTGCTCCAGTAGAGAGGTTAGAATAAGGGTACCCTTTTTTTCTGTAGTCTATTTCAGTAGGGAAACCGCACAACACCAACCCCGGGCCGTTTTGTTTTTTTTATCGCCAAGTCGCCAGGCCGAGCAGCCCCAAGCCGCTGCCCAGCTCGAGCACACGCCTCCCCTCCACGTGGAGCGCCGCCGGGGCATCCGAGGTGAGAAGTTCCAGGCAGGCGAAGCAGCATCGCCAGAGCTGCCGGCCGTCGGCCATCGTCCAGTCCACCACGTTCCTGCGACATGAGGCTCTCATTTTTTGGAGGGTGCCCTTTTTTGATTGTTTTAAAGCGACACCAACAGGAAAACCACCGGAAAAAAAGGTCCCCCTAAAAAACAAACGCCTTTGAGCTTCCGGAGGTACCCAAAGGGGCCCCTGACTGGTTTGTGCAGTTGAAATGGTGGCAACAGGAAGCGCAGGACTTGTAGTTTGCCAGCGCGGAAAAGGAAAGCCGCCAGTATGATGCAACAAGGGACAACTTCTCGTGCTGCGGATTCTCTGAAGGCAAAAGGCGAAATGCCCGGCTGAGGTGAAATTTGGGCGTGTGCAAAACTCCCGTTTAACCTAGCACAAGTACATCCAAAACCCACCTGCTTTACAAAGGATCATCCAAATCAGGAGGCAACGGTCTTTTTCCAACTAAGTTATATAATATATAATTTCGTAAGGGACCAAGTAGACTACTGATTGTCAAACCTCGCATCTGAGGAATGCTCGACTTGCCAAGCATCTGGCCCGCCGAAACCAGCAGCTGCTCTTTGCCGAAGGGAACCTTCAGCACGTCCTCCTCCGAGGGCAGGGCATGGCTAGTCCAGTGACCAAAGGAAAACCTGACATGGTTAGAGTTAGGCCCAGTTATAAAATACAATGTATATTCTATTGTTTGCTTCACTTTGAGTCACCGGTAAAATGTAAAATGTATCCTAAGTCTACCCCAGCTAACCGACAAACATCCTGAGAACACGTGAGCAGCGCCGCAGCATTGACACGCGCAACAACAACTGCGGCAATGTAAACGCAATCCTTTGGGCCTTGGCCCCGAGCACCCTGAAGGAAGCAAGCCCACGCCAGAACAACAAAAAAACACTCGAGTCCCACCCTGGCAGCACATCTAGCTCTTCCCGATTTGAGAGGTTAGAATACGTTGGTACCAACTGTTTGCCGTAGCCTATTTTAGCAGGGGAACCCAAACCCAACCAAAAAAGGGGTAAAAGGGCACCTAGACATTGCGTGTGCTTGAGCCAGGCTTCCGAGCGCCCAGCCCAGGCCGGGAGCCTGCTGACAGATGCATTCCCGAGGTTTCACCCGGAAGAGGAAGACATTGCGAGGCAACCAGAAGAAGCAGCCTATCCAAGCCTTAAACCGCATGGCGGTTTTAGAGACCAACATTGATGTCACCGCTCTTGCCCATGTTTTTTTTGTTGTTTGTTTTTGTTGCGCTCATTGTTGCTGATCTTGGCCCCGTTGTCGTTGCGCCCGCTCGTTGCTCCCAGTGCGCCAGAGCAGGCGTGGAGGTTCAACCAACTTAGGGGTTAGCCCCCTTAGAACCAGGGCGACAACCTACCGTCCCAGTGAATTCCAGCTATCACCGAAAGCCCTCCAAGATTGCCCTCCAAGTTGAAAACCCTCCAAGACTTCCTTCAACAGGGATCCTTACATGAAAAACACCTGAACATTGCCACTTGTCAATGGTGGCGTCCCTTGATTTTGGTGTTGAAAAAGCCAGCCATGTTTCAAATGGTGACAAAATGGAGATCTTTTAAGGAGCCCTGTTCAAAACCACCCAACAAGGGGGCCCTTCACAACGGCGGACCCGAACTCAAGGAACCCTAGCCCCTCCCAAGGTTAGCTTCCATTTGGCTAAGACCATTGGAATGGAAAAACATATTGCACGTAGTGATAGATTCCCTTTAAAGCCAACAGGGGAAAATAAGCATAATAATAAAATAACACTAATAAAAACATATCTTCATTTCAGCAAATGGAAGTTAGTCTGTCCTTCTGGGCCGCCGCCAAGTCCTCCATCAGCTCCTCCACCGTCGCGCTCAGTGGCTCTCGGCTCAGCAGTCGCGGCAGCCAGGCGCTGGAGCCCATCTCCGAACGGAGGCTTAGCTCCAGCTGCTCTGCTCGCCTTGGGTCGACCAAAGGGGAACCAACGAAGGGGGAAAGAAGGGGGAAAGGGGGAACCAAGGAAAAACCAAGGACCCCGGTTTTGGTGATTTTTTGAATGGGCAACCGTAAGAAACCCGAAGGCAGTCGCCTTTCGAGTCATCCCCCGGGAGGGGGTAGGGACCCGGTCCCCCGATTCCATTTATCTTGTCTGCCCCATGAAAGGGAAATGGACTATAAATGGAAGGGGTCACCCCCCTCCCCCAATTCCATTTTTTAAGGGGGCCGGGATATCGAGTCAACTCCAGATTTCCCTCCGCAAGTTGAATTTACTGGGCGGTTTTCATGGAAACAAACGCCACTCTTGAAGATACCCCAAAAGGGGAAACTGAGAGGCACCTGTTCGAGCCCGAGGTTTCCCCAATTTCCCCGGAAAGTGACGGGGATTCCCCCTCAAATGTGGTCACCCCTTATTAATCAACCAGGGGGTTGTTAATCCTGGGTTTCAGCGAGTCAGCAAGTTGCAGTGGAGTAAAAGTGTATGGCACATTAAAATTGCCCCTGATTTGGCTGATCGTCATCCTCCTCACGCACCCACATCTGGCGCAAATTGTACCATGGCTAGCATCCTGGTGTTGTTACGCAAGTGTTAGCCACACTCCTTTTTCCTTGCAAGTGAAGCCAGAGTGCGCGGGGCGTCGATCCACCTCTCAACTGAACTAGCCACAGGAAAGTCCGCCACATACCCACCGGAACTAGGGGTGTGGGCTAGTTTCCTGCAAATGTCAGCATCTTATAACTTAGACAAAAAACACAAGCGACAAGAGCTAAAGACTTCACTGCAGGGGACTTCACTGCAGGTCTCTAAGTTGGAGATCCCTTTTGAATCGCTCTGAAAGAAAAGCGACAAGGAACCCCTCTGATTTAGGAGCTACCCAACCCTTGCATTTGAACACGCAGAATGTCTGAAAGGCTCATCCATGGTTCCAAGGCCTCAAATTTCCTGGCAAACAAATGCCTATATTCCCAGGATTCTCCTGGCGAGCTTGAAGTACCCTCATCTGAACTTCGAACACTTGCCTCTGCCCCCCCTCAAGTTGGTGCGAACCACAAAAGGGGTTCTGCAAATGACAATTGACCACGGCAGAAATGAAGTGACATAAATCAAGTCAAAACAGCCTTTCCTCTCACGGGGGCTGATCCCGTACCCGGCAAAGGTGCAAACCGTGGATACGGCAAACAGTCCTTGAGCTTGCCCGTCATCCCCAAACTCAGCTCACCCCAAATCTTCGTAGTGTTCGGTCCACATGTAGTGAGCCTATCCCTTTTCGGTCCCTTTCGTGGAGGAAGCGTCAAACGCTTCTGCCAAGCCAATTTCGACTCTCACCCATCTACTGCGGTCTTTCTTTGTCCGATGTATTCAAATGTATTCCAGATTTAGAACTCCAGCTACGTTTCTTGGCGAAAATAAGCGCATCCCCCGAAAGGATGCGGCCAAGCCCGGATGCAAAATCGCCCTCTCAGTTCCGAGAAAAAATAAATCCTCATGTTTCCATGGGTGTCCTTTTGGTAAAATAGATGGCCCTAGTAAATGTTTAAATGGAATGGAACCATCTAAACCAGTGCCATCTATTGCTGGCCAAAGTAACCTATAGTGTGTTTCTCTGGAACCCATCCGAAAGGGAGAAGGCCCGCATTTCAGAACATGCGACTCGATGGGTTTGGCTAGGAAAAGCAAGCCGAAACTTACTATTTCGGGGGCCTACTACACCTTCCCAACCTGACCCGCAAGGGTTGCCTCAAAAAAATCGGGGAGCTCCCTCTATATTTTGGGCGGTTTCCTCTTGGTGTGCCTTTAACCTTTACCACCCGCCAGGGGCACCTCCCAAAGAAACCGAGCCATGGCCCAGGCACCTTGCGCGCTCGCTTTGCTCTCGCAGGCACCGCAACATCTCGCGCAGCGCCTGGGTCAGCGGTCAGGGCCCAAGGGCCCCTGATGGCTGCAAAATCCGATGGCTCGCACCTGAGAGACCCCAGAAAAATGACGGCCCTGTAACTGGCCTCGCTCTTTCACCCTGATCAAAGTCAGCCCCTAAGTGGTGGGTTAAAGGGAAACAGCCCCATTTTTGATTGACTTTGATAACTCCCAGAAACCGTCAAAATAATGACCCCAGTGTAAATACCAACAAACAAGGGTTTTCCCATTTTTTTCCATCTGGTGCGAAATGGATTCCGCTGGCTTAGAGTGGTGTTATGCCATCCATTTGCCAGGGAACCCCATCTATTTTTCCAGATCACCTATGCCTGGTCCCCCAAGTTTTGGTGAGCTTCCGCCGTTCGCACCGCCGAGACCCTGGTTTCGGATGAGAATCCGCCGTGCGAAATGGATCTTTGCCCATCCACAGTATGAGTTGTTATGAAAAGGAGGGCATGAACATAGTAACTGCAAGCCACACTTGGCGTCCCACTTGGGCAAGCATCCAAAAGGGGAATGATGGCAAGCCCCTTCCGGGCGAGGCGCTAAACCATCTAAATCTGGGCGAAGATTGCTCCTCACATCCCTTCTGGCAATAGACTATCAACAACTAGGTCCTCCGGTAGAGAGGCTAGAATAAGGGTACCCTTGTTCCGGTAGTCTATCTTAGTAGGGGAACTCTCCCAAAAAAAGGGGTGAGAAAGGGCACTACTGGTACTGGGGGGCGTAGACAAGGTTGACCCCACCGCGCAGAATTGATCTTCCGCTGGCGGGGTTTGCGGTGGCGGCATTGCTCAAAGTATAGTGAGTAACCTCCAATCAGCATACCTAACCAATGTGCAGTTGCGGCGGATTCTCAAAACAATCAAAAGTGAAGCAACCACATCCAACCAAACCCCGGTGAATTCAGGTGAAGTATAGTTCTACTCTCATTCTTTGGGGCATCTGTAGGAAACAAATTGGTGAACTCCGCTCTTTGGAGGTTCTTAACGCGCTAACTGATAGCTGGCCGTTGCGCGGCCTGATGTAGCTGCTCGTCCATGCCAGAACGATAGGCCAAGGCAGCCTGTTCCACCAGCGGCTGCCAAAACTCATCCTCGTGAGGCTGCATCGCGGCCAACAGGATCACGTAATCATGATTCTGATGCACAGGGGGCCCCCATTTTAGGGGCCCAACAATTAGCAAAACCAGCCTTGGTCGAGTGTCAGGATTCCTCAGTCTTGGTAGGCTTTGTGGCAATATTGGGGCCACAAATGTTCAGGGGCGACACCCCACGGTTTCAAAAACTAAAGGATGGATTCCTGCTGCTGCGTAGCTGAATTGTTCATGCCTACTGGTTGCTCTCTTTGTGCATTGACTGTCTTCTTGCAAGTCTGGGCGGTAGCGTCACGCTAAACCCAGACCATGCAACTGGTAAAAAGCGGCTCGGTTAAAAATGGCCGCGGACCAGCAATGCAGCCTGCTCGCAAACATCCATGAAATGTAAACCCACAAGTCAGCTGGACTAGACTGTCTTTTGTTGTCCTACTTGCCCACAAGTAACTGGCGGCACGCGGTTCTGCGTTTGCTTCGCACCTATGCCCCACAGGTGTTTTGGTTCAGTCTGCAGAGTGCTTTGGCATTGCAGCACTTGGCAGGGGCTTGCAAAAAAACTGCCAGTTTTCGCGGCCTACTAAAAATGAACAGAACCCAAAAAGCCAAAGCAACTCAAGACTTGATCCAACAACAGTGAAGCTCACGTTCCTCTTCGCGGGGCTACGCAAAGGGTAGCATTCGGGACGGAAGCTCGCCTTTAGTACTCGTTTCACGGGACCGTCGCTAAGCTTCAGGAAGGACGCTGCAGGTTTCAAAGCGAGTTGCAAAAAAACCTTATGAACTGCTTGGGATTCGCGCTTCACTCCACATATTTATGTATATATGTATATATATATATAGATAAATATACATACGTATGTAGATGTGTGCCCCATGTCTCACAACACAATCACCAGAAAATGCAACGCATGCACCCCAATTGGCTCAGCAGCCTTTCTGAGTCGCACATGTTTTCCTGGAGCGGAGCTCTTTCCCCCCCCCTCCACGGCCAAGGTATTGATAAGGAAGGGGCGCAACAAAGCAATCAATTGTAGGACTTGGCCAGGGCACTCTCAGCAAGCTTTACAATGACGGTATCAAGATCTACTTGGTAGACCTGATTGTAAGGAATCCTGACTTGGAAAGACACAGTCCCTGAATGGCCATAGCAGTGGTAGTGACCAGGCTGCAACCTTCTCTGTTCTCTGTGCTTGGAACTTTGACTACCTGTATAGACAACCAAGGGCACACCACCATTTAACAACGAAAACAGAACATTTGGTGGGGTTTCCTACTATAGTAGCTGCAGCTGGGATCCAGTTGCTCAAGGTAATCCCTATCAATTAATATGGTGACTGGGGTGCCCCTGGTTTTGGTGGAGGTTCACTTTTGGAGGGGCCCCCAACACTTCTCATATTTGTTCCCACAACATCCACCCCAAAAGGGAACTCCAAACCAAATGCCTTGCAAGGTGAAGTTTGTCATCACCAAGAGGGTGCATCTAAGTGTGTCTTTTTCAAGGGACCCCCCCCCCAAATAAAAAAGAGGCTCCGGTTTCCTTTTGCTTTCCCTTTAAACTAACCCCAAAACTGGTTCCTTCAACAAAGGCCCTCCCCATATGCGGAAACCAACCCTGGTTGCCGCCGGTTCCGAAACCGAGACGCTGTCGTTTTTCTCGCTCAAAGCTCCGTGCGCGCTGAGTTCCTCCCTTTGCCGCGTCGGCTCCTCGGCTGCTCGTGACTCGCCCGACACCCAGACAAGGGTCCCCACTCAAGCTGCATGCGGTTGGCTCCTCTTGCCCTGAACAAAAATCGTTGCCAAATGAATTCCACCCCTTGGTATGGTAGCAAACAAACAGTGTTTTGCAGCCTCCTACTAACAATGATCAGACCCCCCCAAATTGTTTTTACTGTTTTCTAGCTGCCATCCGACGATAGATGATGGCTGGCACTTGCACAGCCCAAACGCTTTGGATGTGGGCTTGAAATGCAGCTTGAAAAGTAAAAACTGGTTGCAGCGAACCCCCTGTTGTGCGATGGACCATTCATCCAAGCAAAGTAATTGGCAGAGGGGCAATGGCTAAGCCAAGCATCTAGATTGCGGAGGTTTGCGGAGGCAAGTCCACATACAAACCTCACTTACGAATGACACAAGCAGCGGTCAGCATCCCCTCAATTCCTACGAAGCATATGGCCCCTATGAATTCCATCGGGGTAGTCTTGTCAAAGAGACCGTAAGGGTTCTCCAAGCACCCCGAAAGGTCCATAGATGGTCAACGGAGCGAATCGCGCAAAAAGTCCATATCGTCCAGGTTTCTGGTGGTCTTTCTAGATCCACAACTGGGCAAAAACAGAACCTGACGCGGTGACCATGGCACGAACGCCCCCACGCACCCCTGCCCAACCCTCAGCGCTAAGCGTCCGAGGTAGCTCGAATTGCCCAGAAGGCGGGCTCGACTGACCTGCTGAACCGTCGGCTGGTCAAACACCGTTTCGTAAGCTGCGTGAAGAGCGCCGTCTTTGCTTCTAAATCTTGGCCCAAGGGCACAGCAAAAAGTCAGGTCTTCAAGCTCTCTTTCAATTTCATGCTCACCCTAAAATCGACAAGCATTTTGAGGGAGACCCTCGGTTCATGTGGCTACACAGCCGTCTGCGGAAATCCCCACGCCAGACATCGCGCCGTGTCCGCGCCTCGGTCGTCCTTGCCGCGGCAAAGGATCTTGCCCGAAGTCTGCACCTCGATGGACCAGGTGAAATAGGAAGATGGCACGGCTTCAACTCCGTTTCAGAGGAAATTCCCTGGGGTTCAAGCCACCATGAATCAAAAAGGGTTGATACAACCACCTCTGTTTACCCAAGGATTGTCTCTGTCCAAATTGGGTCAATCATTCTTTTCATGGGGGTTGAACTGTTGGTGCGAACTGTTGGTGCAATCTACTTTCACGCGGCACTACGGCTATCTGCCTCTTTTCTTGCAAGTGGTGCACGTTGCGATTCTCGCCGCCTTGGGTCATGATGGGGCAACCATGCGCAAAACCCCGTCACTCGTCAAGAACACGACGATGCACCGAGCATCCCGAAGTTACGCTCCAGTCAACATCTCCAGCGCCCGCTTTCAGGGTGCTACGGGTGTCAATCTCTTCCCTCACTCAAATCAACAAAGGGAAGCCCCCGCAAGAAAAGCCCTTTGTCGAAACCAACGGACAAAGGGAAACCATAGCTGTCCCCGGTTGATCGAAGTCTGGGGCTTCCCGCGCCGCACAAGTGGGAGCCCCCAACTGAGATGTACTCAAACTGGTCGTCCCTGAGCCAGGTGCGAGGCATTGCGAGGCGATTGGAGGTACCCGTGTGCACGGTGTGCCATGCACACCGGGGTTCTCCAAACAGGGGACCCCACGAAAAGGGTTTACCTCTGGCATCCCCTTTTCCAAAAGACTTGCTTGTGCTCAGATGATGTTAGTAGGTGTTGGGTATGAACTGCAAGTACCTTAAAGGAAATCATACAGTGGATGGCCGAAATCCTGCACCACCTCAGGAACCCTGGAAGGATGATTCCCCTGTAATTACCAACAAATAGTGTTTTCCCATGGTTTGCAAGTGGTGCGAAATGGATTGGTTTTCTTGGGCTCATTCCAACTCATTCTCTGCCCATCGAACCAGCAAGCAGCTTCAGAGTACCTGATCCGTTTGAAGCGCTTCCCCGTCGCGCCTCTGCTCGGCTTGCGGCCAGCATACCGCCCTGCCTGAGAGGGATGAAGCTTTAGTTTGGCCCTTGGCCTAGGTCCTTGAGTAGAGAGGTTAGACTATGGGTACCCGATTTTTCTGGTTTGTCTATTTTAGTAGGGGCTTGCCCTCCCCCCAAAAAAGGGCTGAGAGGTCGGGCACTGCTGGGGGGACCTAGCGGCTCAAGCGGAAAGCGGGGTCCTTGCAAACGTCCCTAGGAAGGTTCCAACATTTGCATTGAGAACATCAGAATGGAGGAACCTTCACATTCAACCTCGTTTTACCCAAACGATCCCTGAGGTGAGCCAGTGCACCAGCAAAACACCGTGCCTGAAGCTTCAGAATTCAGTGGCATTGAAGATGTTTACTACTCACTTCTTGGGTGGATTGGCCAAAAAACGTCCAAACTTTTGTTTGTCACTAAAAAGGCCGTTCCAAAAAGTGACTAAGTCCAGCAACTCAGGGAGTGAGACTATGTGTTGCTCTTTGGTTGTGACAACTAAAGCTAAACAGTTGCCGGCAAGTATGTAACAAAGCCCGACAATTGGTCCTCGCAATGCTCAAACCTACAGCCCTCTGAGCGACACAATTACAGACTGACATGGACAAACCTGAACAACTCCAGAGTTTTCGACTAGTAAGGCTAGAAAGCTCGGGCTCAAAGATTTGTACACATGATCATGTATTCAGGTGTTCACATAGGCTGTATCTTTGCATCATACAAAATATCCCCTACACTTTCTCTCTCTCTAGCATCCTTGCCTACACTTAGAGGTGTCCATTTATTGTAGGACTGGTGCCGCCCAAAACAACGGGCCTCACAATTCGACACTCACCTGCACAACTAACTATATAACTTATAATATGTATTTGCATTCAAGTCTTGCGTGTGTCCAGTTTACAATCTTCTTCAGGTAAAATGCAGGTTCCACAACAATTCCTGGCACCAGCGCCGCTGTTCAGCTAAACCTGGCAGAAAAAGAATTGGAACCCTCTAGGGGTTGGCCATTTGGGGGGAAAGCCACCAAAGGGAAAGCGGGTGCGAACCCAGGCCTGACGTCTCCAGCGCACAGGTGAAGGGTCCACGGGAGGAGATCTGCTTGAAGCGTCCTGACCCAAGCCGCACGAAGCTGTGACCCATGGTTTTCCAGGTGATTTGGGGTTTTGCGGTTTTGCTTTTGGGCCCTGACAAATTTGACTGTTTGCGTAGGGAGCAGTTGGAACCTGTCAGGATCCCGTCATTCTAAAGCATTGGGCTCCGGAAAGGATCTAGCTCCTCCTGTAGAGAGGTTACAATAATAATACCCTTTTTTCTGCAGTCTATTTTAGACATTTTTAGACACGGGGAACCCTCCCCCCAAAGGGGTGAGAAAGGGCACTACTGGAGGACCTCGACTTGCCCAACAATCAGCGTCGGTCTATCGGCCGTGATCTCGGCGAGGACTCGGCGTTTTGCACTGGGGGACCCTTCGCAAGTGGTCACAACCCGAATAAATTAGAACCAGGGTTGTGGGGAATGGAATCCACTTCTGTGATACAACAGAAAGGGCCTAACCCCAAAGACTCTTTTGCTCTTCTAAAGGGGGGTTTCCTTCTTGTATCACAGAAGTGGTTGGAGAAACCCCGAGAGATCAACCAGAACCCTGATCAGAACCGTCTCCGGGTCCACTGAGCCCGAGTATTCCACGGCTTCTGTCGTACAGTTCGGCCTCTGGTCTCACTTCAGAACTTGTGATTGACACTAAATTGGTCTTCCCAAAAAGCGAAACGGAACTCAGGGAGTGGTTGGTTGAACAACAAGGGATTCAAAATTGAATCAAGAAAACTCCGGCACAGTACTGCAGCCTCTGGTTGGGAAAAGTAGGATTGAACCAAATCACCTCGACCGTACCCGGAGATCTGTCCTGGCGGTGGCTTGTTGTCCCCACGCCTGGGATGCGGAAAAACCGGCCAGGACATGGCCAGGACATGGCCAAACCATGACGCGCGACGAGATTTGTAGGGGGGGATAGTGCAAGGGCGGTTCTTCAAGGCTTCCTTGGATGGATGGATGGATGGATGGATGGATGGATGGATGGATGGATGGATGGATGGATGGATGGATGGATGGATGGATGGATGGATGGATGGGTGGGTGGGTGGGTGGGTGGATGGATGGATGGATGGATGGATGGATGGGTAACCTTTTCCTTTTCCTTTACATTCACCAGGGAACGCCAAGGAACCCCAGGGCTCTCAAGGGGTGGTGGGGGTTTTGTAAGGCTGAAGAGCCCGAAAGGGACTCTCAACTACCCCTGTTCCTACCCGTCTGGGATTCCATGCCACCTTTCGTTCGCCAAGCGGCTTCTGACCCCAGCAGACAGTCTCATTCTGAAGATTCAGGCCGCAGGTGTGCAGGTAACCTGCGCATCAAAGCACCGAAGGGCGCTAGGCGCATGGATGGCATTTGGTTCGGCACCTCCTTCCCAAAAGCGGCAAAGGAACACATGTTTTGACCAGTTGGTGCGAAACGGAAACATAAACCTTACCACACAATGCATGGGGCAACCTTCCACAGGGTGGACAGTTCCAGGCTATTTTGTAACCAGCTCCCTTGCTAAAAGTTCAACTCTTAGTGGCTTGGTGGAAACTACCACCAAAGCCTAAGCTCGGGAACCGGATGGCTCGGAACATGTGTAGCAACTGTTTTCCCTTTGAAACCAAAGAATAACGCACGGGTTTCTGCGCCTGGGGCTAGCTGGCGGAACAGGACGTCCGGCACCTGCTTCAGAGCCACACAATGGTGTCATGCACATAGAACCTCCAACAGTAGGGCACACCTCCAAACAGGCAGGGGTCTGTTTGCCACCTTTTGTGAAAAAATGATCGACCCCTCGTAGTGAAGGATTCTTCCTTTTTGAGGGGGTCGCCAATTTTCTCACAAAGGGTGGCAAAAAAACACCCATTCAAACAGATGACCTGTGATCAAATAGATTTCCAACATTGGAAGTCTTTGGGTGGCTTCTCCTCTACGTACCGCTCAAAAGGAAACCCGCGATTGTCGGAAGCTCGTGTCGGTCGTTTTGGAAGCTTGTTGCATTTGAAAAACCAAAGTGAAACGGACACCCATTGCAGGCACTCCCTAACATGGGCCCACATGGTTGAACTGCGCTTAACACGCACAAGTGGATAAAATAGTGACCCCCTTGCACCTTGTGCTCCAACCCGCTTCAAAAAGCGCAGGTGCGTCGCAACACGTCTTGACCAGCGATGGTTGTCAGAAGACCATTCCAGCGGGCGGCCTATCTAGGGTGCCTATTCGTATTGCCGACTTTCAGCTGGAAATTGCTTGAGGGATAGCAATGGACGTGCGCGTTTCTTTGGGCGCCTTGAGGATACTCGCAGTCGCCTCCAATCCTTACAAGTAAGAAGGGCAAATGCTCATTGACACCAATAGGCAGGTAGATTGAACATAGCTCACATCAGCAAAATCTCCCCCGTTGCTTTTCTTCACACGGGTCAGGACTTGAAGATGTTGTTTGGCTTCACTGCAAAATCCAACCGGACAAAAGGGATGGACTCCATGAACTCCAGTCAAGCCCTGATACTAGGCAACCTCTTTTGGTTGTAAAAAACAACTTGGTTGCTGCTGTTGACCCCCCTGCAAAAAGTGAGTGAAGGTTTGGTTAAAGTAAAAACCCCAAATGATTTCAACCAAAAGTTAAGGTCTAAAGATCCGTTGCCCAGTAGCCCTCAGGACAAGATGAATCTACTGGGCTTAGGCAACTGAAACTTCTGCTTGAGTGTCTCCAGGGGATAAAGTAGCCACCTGGGAAAAGCAGGGCAGGCCTCACTTACTGAGTGGACTGGACCAAAAAAAAGTCTGAACTTTGTGTTTGCCACTAAAGTGGGAAGAAGCGGCCTCAAAAAAAGAAGTCTGAACTTTTTTGTTTGCCACTAAAGTGGTTTTTTGCAAGAAGTTTGAAGTCCATGAAGTCAGGGAGTGAGCACAGGGAAATCCATCACCCCCTCTCACAAAACGGAAAGCAGGGCACCACTGTGTCTGAGGGCCCGCCACCTCCAATCCTTCGAATCCAAATCCAGTCGCCCAGGCGCATCAGTCTGGTTGTACTCCTTAGCAGGACCAATCGAGTTTCTGCCCAGGATCCCAAAAATCGGTCGATTTGGGGTCTGTCCTGTTTTGAGGGAAAGGCGGTTTCAAAGGGAAACCAAAAGGAAAACCACCATGTTGAGAGGTCGGCTAACAGACGCACACTCATTTCGGAAAAGGAGATTCCTCTATGATGATGACTTTCTGGGTTCCATGTGCCCGACACACGCACACATTGACCCTCGGTGCCCCGCAGACCATCTGATGCAACTGGACACGTGACCTTCGCCTAAAAATCATGTTTGCCAACTACAGCAGGTACTCTGCCTTTGCTTTAGCTGTCCGAAGAGTAGACAGTACCACCAACCTAGCATCTAGCTTAGCTACTGGCACCAACGGGAAAACCAGCATTTCAAGGGCCCCCCCATCCCTTGCTGTGGACGGATGGAATCCTGCACCACTTTGAAACCATTGTTAGCTGAGGTATTTACAAGGGAATCATCATTCCAGAGCTTCTTAGGTGGTGCCGGAGTTCGTCCATCCACAGCTAGGTCCTCCAGTAGAGAGGTTAGAATAAGGGTACCAACTTGTTTCTGTAGGCTATTTTAGTAGGGGAACCCCCCCCCCCCAAAAAAAAGAAGGGTAGCAGGGCACCTAGCTGGACCTCGGGAGTTTTGGAGCCATTTATCTCTGTTGCCCTGCCACATGCAGCCAAATGGACCCAAATGGACTACCATTTGGGGCCCTAGACAGTATTTTGCCATACCCAAATGGCTGTGGCTCAAAAAACCGGTACCCAAACTGGGTTGCCCTGGTAAGTGGAAACATGGGTAACCCAAAACCCGCGGTCTGCCCCTCCGATCGTTTAATTTTGAGCCATACCCAAATGGACCAAAACCGTCCGCGCGAGCGCCAGTGCGCCAGGCGTCGTTGAAGCCCCAGCAGGCCCCGGTGCCGTCAGCTTTCAGGGCGCAGCTGTGGCCCCCAGAGGCGCTGATCGCCACAAACCTCAGGTGGCGAAAGCTGGGCTGTGGCTGGGGATTCGGCTTACACCAAAGTATGTGTGTTTGTGTGAGCGTGTGACTGGGGTGTGGGGTGGGGTGGGGTGGCGTTGTGTGGTGTTGTGTTATGTTGTGTTATGTTGTGCCTGAGGGCCAGGAGGGGGTCATGATGATGATGATTGTTATTACTGTTATGATTTCAAGCTATTACAAGCCCTTGCGAGGAAAGATGAAGTGAAAGGACACAAGTATTTGACTTTTGTGTAGCAGGACACGCCCCTCTCCAGTTTAGGATTTACTGTAGTGTATGAGGCTCCGTGCGCCAGTTAAACTGCTTGCTTGCTTCAAGTCGCAGCACAACAACATACGCTTGACAGGACTGGGTCATGGGGAAATTGCCATGCCACCAAGAATGACTACTTGCACATTGGAAGTGCCCTCCCTTTCACGTTGCTCCCTCCAAGAGGAAACTGATCTTCCTATCCACAGGTGCCACGTTGGCGGGACCCCTCAGGGTCTCCAACCATCTCCAACCTTGGAATCAACCTTCGACCCTAAACCTAGGACTTGAATCTGCTAGTTGTTCATTTTGCAAGTTGCCAAGCACGTGAAGGGTTCCAACTCCAAAAAGAGACACCACGTGTGACCCATTTGGGTCGCTTGCTTGGACCCAAACCTACCCCACAGGGCCCGACCACTTGTATTGTTGCAGGCTTGGGTATGGTTAAAAGCGTCAAGTACAAGCAAAAACACCAATGAGTGTGCCTACAAATTGGGGATCCAACAAAAACCGTTGGTTTTCCTCTGGTTCCCCTTTAACCAAACCGCAAAAAGGTACACCGCCTAAAAATGACACACCCAAATATCGATGAATTGGACCCTCGGGGTACGGCAGGGTGAAAGTAGAACTCTTCATCCAGCTGTAGCCTTGCCTGGCATAACCTTGAAGATTTCAAAGATCATCAGCTAACAAGCTTGCCTTGCTCCTTGAAGATTGGGGAGAAGAACTTGTTTGTTTCACATTCAAGATCCTGTTCACACTTCCAAGCAAACAAGCAGTGGCTCGCACATAGATGCAAAGATAAACAGTTCACAGTCGCAAATGGCATTGCACGACCACTCAGCGTAATCAGTGGTTGCCTGCCCTTCCTTTTGCGAAACTGAATAATCCTCGCCTTGGTCCTGAACACCACGCAATGGCCCTCAGTAGCCTGAGCCCTCCTTGTTCAAGCAATGCTGTGCCTTGATGTGTTTTATCAGTAGTTTGCGCGCCGAGCCAGTCCCAGGGTTGATGCTTGCTAAGCGCAGGCACACTGCCAAGTGATCAAAGGCTCCCGCCGTTTCGAACGGCTTGACACCCCGAGTGCCCCGCCGAAAATTGGTATGTGGGAATGACAGGTGCCCCTCCTCCCACTAACATAGCATTTGTGGGAGGGTATTTGGAAGATCAATTTCCTTTTCAAGCGACTCTCTGTCAGGTGCCATGTCAGTGGTAGAGAGGGTACTGCAAGTTTGCACAAAGTATGCTGGCCGTGCATGTGGCATGTGCTTTTGGCGGGTTGGCCGTCACGTTTTGCCCATTCGACCGTTCCAACGAGTGGCACTTCCAATGTGCAAGTAGTCATTCTTGGTGGCATGGCAATTTCCCCATGACACAGTCCTGTCAAACGTATGTTGTTTTGCCGCGACTTGATGCAAGCAAGCAATTCAATTGGCGCACCGAGCCTCATACCTAAATCCTAAACCGCAGAGGGGCGTTATGGCAATTTCCCCATGACACAGTCCTGTCAAACGTATGTTGTTTTGCCGCGACTTGATGCAAGCAAGCAATTCAATTGGCGCACCGAGCCTCATACCTAAATCCTAAACTGCAGAGGGGCGTTTCCTGCTACACAAAAGTCCAGTACTTATGTCATTCCCGTGCTTTTTCGTGACCCTGGTTGAGGCTGCTCATCTTTCCTTTGCGCAAGGGCTTGTCATATCTTGAAATCATAACAACAATCATCATCATCGTCATGACCCCCTCCTGGCCCTCAGGCACAACGCAGCACAACACCACACAACGCCACACCACCGCACCCCACACCCCAAACTCGCTCACACAAACACACACTCTGGGCTGGTGTAAGCCAAAGCCCCTTCGAAGAAACCGCTTTTGGGACTAGGTCCTCCAGTAGAGAGGTCAGAATCAGTTGGTACCAACTTTTTTTCTGCTTTGTCTATTTTAAACACGGGGAACCCTCCCAACCAAAAAAGGGTGAGAGGTCGGGCACCTAGCTGGGGACCTAGTTTCTGTTGCCCCAACCCACGCTTCCGCAGCCCACCTTCCCACGGGTGCACCAGAACTCCTCTCGTGCTCGTCGCTGCCCCAGCAGTGCACTTCGCCATCCTAGGGGTTGATTACTTCCATGTCACAACTGCTTCCTTAAGGCTTGTGTGGAAGCCAGAGCGATCGAAAAATCTAGAAAGAAACAATATTATTTTATATAGGGGGTGATTCCTTGTCCACTCTTTTCAACCATTGTTCTTTTTAAAAACCAGCTGTTTCCAACCTGGGTTTTGGGCGGTTTTGTAGAAAGAAGGATGCCTGGAAAGAATGGAAATGGAAGGTATTCCTAGAATCCTTAGTGAACCAAGCGCCAGCATGGCTCAATTTGCCCCCTGAATGGGATTCCATCCTTTGAGGGGTCTGAGTCACCAGCCACAATTTGAGTCACAAGTCGTGAGCCGATCCTTTCCCATTGACACCCGACAAGCTCTCAGCCCAATTCATGTTTAAGGAGGGCATTGTGACGCAGCGCACTCTATACACCAACGCCTGCTTGAACTGGTGCATGCTTGACCAACGACCAACGCATGATTCATTCAACACATTCACAAACCAACACATGCTAACACCTGGTTACGATACGTTGTATAGGAGCAAGGCCATGGCAGTAAGATGTGACTTCTATAGGCTTCACCTATATGCGCCTGGTGCCACCAGCAACCAAAAACAGCGCCTAAACAAACTGCGCACAGCCTAACAATCAACTCTCTCTCTCTCTCTATATATATATACATATATATATATTTCTATATATATATACTGTTTACATAGGCCGTACTATGACCTTCATAAGCACAAACCCTCCCTCACCTACCCCACCTATCCCCCACCTACCCCACGAATCCCCCACCTGCCTTCCACCCACCTACCACACTCAGACCCAACTACCCCGCCCCCCACACACATACCCCCAACTCCGCACCATCCCCACCACCCCCATCCCGACCCCAGCCCACCTACCGCCATCCGCCCACCATCCGCCCCAAAACGCGCCTGGCTGAGCGCGCAGCTGTGCGCCGCGCCGCAGGCCACCTGCGCGAAGATCTCCTTCTCCGGGCTCTCGGACTGGTGGTGCCTCACGGGCTCGCGGGTCGGGGGGAGGGGAGGGGGAAAAGGTGGGGTGGGGTGGTTGGGTGGGGTTGGGTGGGGTTGGGGTGGGTTGGGTGGGGTTGGGTGGGGTTGGGTGGGGTTGGGTGGGGTTGGGTGGGGTTGGGTGGGGGTGGGTGGGGTTGGGTGGGGGTGGGGGTGGGGGGTGGGGGTGAGGGTGGTGGGGCGAGGTGTGTCTTGTTTTGTTTGTTGTTTTTGTGGCCGGGGTGGCGGAAAGGCGGGGGGGAAGGGGTGGGGTGAGTGATGTTTGTTGTTAGGTGCCCCTTTTTGCGGAGGGAAACACAAAGACTAGTGGAACTTATGCCAGTTCCTGGAATTCACATGATTAGTGTGCTTTCCAACTGGCATTGACCACATGATGCCCAAAGTGATAATTGCCATTGTTGATATTTATTACTTTCAAGGCGATACCCTTGGCGATTCCCTTGGCATCGCAGGAAGCTCCCCTAAACTCCATGGCTGGTACCCTAACCAGTACGTCTGGGCCAAAATAGAGTACATACATGTATATACCTCCTTTGATAAAGTGGCCATGCAGTGATATAGTGGATACATCAATTTCACACCTCCCTCATGTTTCCAGGCAAGTAAACCACGAACAGTAGTTAAGTTACAGGCTGCAGTGTTTCTTGGCTATCTGGCATTTTTGAGGGAATGAGCAGTGCAGGCAGTCACAAAAAACAGAAGCGGGTCCGGCAACCACCAGCCCTACGCTGATTCGAATCAACCGCCGGCCCTTCCGCCAGCGGGGATCCCACATCCTGGCCGGTGGGTCACGAGGGAAACAGCCGCCATCTTGCAAACAGACCTGGCGACTTGATCTTGAATGTCCAGCTTTTGTTTAGCTGGTGTCCCCTCTTTTGCGGAGTCTCCCCTATTGAGCTTCCACAATTTTGGGGTTCCCCCCGAGTTTGCGTTTCCCCCCAATTTCCGGGGGCTGCCCCCCCGTGCCATGCACACCTAGAGTCTATGTTGCAACCAAGAACCCTAAAAATCCAATACCCCAAAAGAAGGAGGTTGCAAAATAGACCCTAAGTGTCCACCATACGGCTGCCTGGCGCCCCAAATTCCGAAAGGTTTCTCCCGTCTCTTTCGACTTCTTGGCCGCGGTGCTCGTTGCTGCCCCAGCACTCGACTCGGCCCCCGGGACGCACCCCGCAGCTGTGGGCCTTCCCCGCGCCCAGGGCCAGGAACCGGCCCTCAGGGCGCCGCTTCCGAAGCGATCCGAGCCCCGAGTCGATTCCCAGGCCCCGGGCCACGCGAAAAATGCCCCGTGTGACCTTTGATTCACTTCCATTTGCTTTTTGGCCCCCTGGAAAAAAATAGAAAACATGTCCAGTAGTGATCGATTCCTTTTGAAACCAACAGGGGGAAAAAAACAAACAATAGTCCTAAACAAATGGAAGTTCAGCGACCGGGTAGTGGGAATTGCCTTCTGTCACAACTCAATGGGTGGCCTTTTAATTGGATAAGTCTCTATTTGAAGAGGAGGTTACCACCTTTCAAGGGACAAATGCTGGTCCAGAAGCCAGGGTGACTGTTTAAAAGCCTGAAACGCGTACTTTAAGCGACCAAGCTGGTTTGTGGAACTTTGTGCCGAGGAGTCCTCCGAGGAGAAAAGGCGGTCAAATCAACTCAAAAGGTTTTAGAGGGTGGACAAAAACAGAGCCCCCCCCCAAACCAGCTAACATGAAAGTGATGAAAGTCCAAGCGCTTTTGCTGGCAGGCTACCCTCCCTTTCCCTTTCCCTTTCCCTTTCCCTTTCCCTTTCCCTTTCCCTTTCCCTTTCCCTTTCCCTTTCCCTTTCCCTTTCCCTTTCCCTCCCCTCCCAACCGAACAGTTTCTTGCCACTCGGACCAAGCCCCGAACAAGGCCTTCGGCGGACTGGACCTTGGCACATGGATCCAAAAACAAGCCGCGAGTCGAGTGGATGAAAAACCGCCCGCTGCAAAAATGAAAACGGGCTTGGGTTGCAACTGCAAAAACGGGGACCCGGTCCATTTCCCAAAGGAGTCCCTAAAGATGCGGGGTTCCTTGAGTACCTGTCGAAATCTGAGCGCGCTTCTCTCTAGGGCAACGAGGAGATCCCTCGGAATCTACGCAACTTAAAAGCCGCCAGGCGGGCAGCCCATTCGCAAACTGCCCAAGATGTCACCTTGACACATCTCCTTTGCTCAGAAGGTAATGCTTCACACCACCGAGAGCCTTGCAGGCCCTGACGACTAAGTCTCAGTCGCAGGCTTCTTTGTGAGGTCGGCAGTTGCTTCATATGTTGCTGCTTCAATTGGGCAGTCAACATACTCTTGGACGAAATCCTGCACCACCTAAGAAGCCCTGGAATGATAGTACATATATATATATATATATGCATATATATATATATATATGTACAACTCCCATGTAAATACCAACGAACAATGGCTTCCCATAGCTTCAAAGTGGTGCGAGCGGATTTCGTCCATCCACAATTGGGCAAACCCCAAAATTGGTGGGGTTTCCAAAACAGGAAAGAAGCGGATGCCCAGAGCAAGGACCTTGGCACATGGGTCTTTCTCACAAAATTAGCGACCCCCCTTGAGGTGGTGGGTTTCCCTTTGTTGCCACTTGAAAGCTATGCCAAAAGGGGATCAGTAAACTGGCTCAACATTAAACAAGAGGGGTTACACAGGTTTTGGTCCATGCCAGGGTTCCATTTTGAGTACCGGTTTTCGAGCCACAACCACACAAAAAGGGGAAGCACTGCAATGCCGTGGTCTTGCCGCCACAGCGTCTGGCCATAGTCATCCGCCCCCCAGCAGGCCGCCGCCCCGTTGCCACGTTTCAGCGCGCAGCTGTGCCAACCCCCAGAGGCGACCACGGCTCGGAAGTCCTGGCTGGGGCGAAGGCACCTCTGCAGCTACTGTGGATCCTGCACTGTTTGTTGGTATTTACAAGGGAATCATCATTTAAGGTTTCTTAGGTGGTGCAGGTGGTTTCCATTGAAACTGCCCGGGAAATGGAAACAAGCACAGGTGTCCTTTTAGGGGGAATAGATGATTAAACCACAAGGTGAGTTAGGAATCGCCATCTATTTTTTCGAGCGAAACAAACAAAAAGGACACCTATGCCTCTGAAGCTATTTCAGTTGCTCCCCCTGTCCAGACGGTCGAGCAAGGTCCATCACCTTTTGGTTTGGTTTAATCGGCATCCATTTGGTAGGTGTGGACAAGCTCCATTTTCCAAAAACAACAGGGTCCTTTTGGGGCGATTTGGCCGCAAAGACCTGCCATGGGATGGTGTTAACCCCTTTCAAGCTGTTCTTTCGCACCCCTTGGGGTTCCCAAGAATCCGGGCCCAGGTGTTCAAACCAGGTTTGGCCCCTGGGTTCAGCCCCCAACCAAAATCTGGATTGTTGAAATGTGGGATCCCGTCGGCTCATGGAGCCGAAAAACGATGTCGTTGACCTCTTTAGGCCATGGCTATGGGTGTGGCTCAAAATTCAAGAGCTAGGGCAAACCGCAGGTTTGCGTCTTTGGTTCAGCCATAGGTTCCTCAATGGGAACTCCTACACTTGTCTGACGACGGCTGTTCAGTGGCGGGACCATCCCAAAGAGCAAGTCTGAAGTGAGGTGTGTTGACCATGGCGCCTATGGGACCATGAGAAACACATCGACACCGCCCACCAAGGACATCGCGAGATATGCTGACGCATATTTGGCAAGACTAAACGCATTATTTTGCATGTCACCTGGGTGTGTGCCTGTTTTGAGGGGACCCCCCCAAAAGGGTGGTTGTCCTTTTGGTTTCCCTGTAAAACCGCCCAAAACAGGGTACCAAAGTCCAAAAAAGCAGACCTGCCAGAACTTCCGATGCTGAAGCGGTGTTGTGGGTCTTCGCTCCCCGCGCAAGCCAGGTCCTGACTCGCATGGCCTGGACGAGAGGCTGGGAGTGACATGGCTGAGAAAAAGCCGGACAAGAAAAACAACATGTCCCTCGACTTGTTAGGAAACCTGAGCAAAAGCTTGCTGCAACACGAGGGGCCCAAATTGAAATCCACTGACCACAGGGTACCCCTTTGGAATAAATTGGCAAGGGGACGAGAGGAGGTATCATCCACAGTTGGTAACGGAGCTGAGCCTGCCGCTGTCAAGTCAGGAGTAGCCCCCAGTTTGTGGTTTGGAGGTGTGGTTCCGGGACCTCAGTTCTTTTTGGTTTCCCAAATGAGGAAGATACCAATCCTATGGTCCAAACCACCAAAATGCAAAGGCCGGGGGGGGGGGAGGTCTCACCTCCTGAGAGGATGGCCAAATGCAGTTCAATCCTTATATTTACCACTGACACGGCTTTCCCGACAAGATTAAAGTCCAGGGACTCAGGAAGTGAGTGATTCAAGATCAATTGATCTCTGTTCCCTTGACATGGTTCCACCACACCCCCAAAGTTGAAACGGAACCAGGGTTGGACTGCTCAACTATTCCCCCAAAACAACTTCCGAAAAACAAGCCTAGGACACAATCTCCCCCCAAAAAACTATTCCTAAAAAAACAAGACGAGAACAAAAAACAACTAGGACATACTTCACCCAGACTTTCTCCCTTGAACCTGGCCGAAAAGTTTCGGCCCAAACCGGCGCCCCAGCCTGGCGCCAGCAGCGCCGAAAAACCCGCAGCCAGGAGGCCCATGGCCGACCGAGCGAAGTCGCTTTGGTGGTTGAAACAAACCTAAACGGGTGCGTACAAAAAACAAACAAGCATCCACTTGGGCCCTCAAACTCTCAAAAAAACTGGACACTGCCCCCCGAAATCTGGTCTTCAGGGTCAGTGTTTGGGTAGTTTCGCATGGGTGTTCACCACGTACCAAACCTTGACCAGTTTCCCATGTTTGGTGGTTAAGGATTTCAGCCTGTGGATTGGTCGTTTCCCAACGTACCCTCAACAAAACAACTAGGTCCTCCAGTAGAGAGGTTAGAAGAAGGGTCCTTTTTTTTCTCTGTAGTCTAGTTTAGTGGAACCCTCCCAACCAAAAAAGGGTGCGAAAGGGCACGTGACTGGGGGACCTAGACATGGATCTCACATGCCCGTACACGTTGGTTCCAAGCTGCTTCAGGTCTTCAGGGGATTGCAATAGATCTGTTCCGGCGGCCTCCAAACAGACCTCCATCAAGAAGAAACGGCTGTGGATTTTTTGAGGATGCCCTTGTCGGGATCAGTTGGAAAGGAAACCAAAGCCAAAAACAGACAAAAGGATAACCCAAAATTCCTGCAGTAGGATTTGTGGGGTCCGATTCCTGTTTGGACCTGTGAGCCTGTGGGGTCTGTTGATCCCGGAGCTGGATGCGAGTCGGCTTGGAAGAGAGAGCTTGAGCCGAGCGAGGCCACGAGAGATGTTTTCAGGGGACTGGAAACCCCAAGCTGGCACCATAGATAGGGAATCACCTTTGTCTGGGTGTTGGGACAAGCCGGTTTTGGGGATTCCCGAAGAAAGGAAACCATAGGATGGATACTTTTCTTGGGGTCATTCCAACTCATTCCCTGCTAAGAACCAGCAATAACCCCCAAGCTGCTGTTTGAAGCTATGACTTCAAAAAGGAAATCAGTACCTCACTGCTATTTACAGCGGCTTGCACGAGCAAACATGATGGTCATGTCACATTAACACGCCCTGAGGAGAAATGATCGAGGGACAAATGCCGATTGGGACTGCTTACTCCACGACACAACGAGGCGCCATGTCCGAAACAAGCAACACAAGCGCCACTGAAGGCTCGAGCGTTGATGCATTCAGATACAAGAACACACACACACACACACACAAATATGTGCATGCATGACAGGGAACACACGCCTGTACACACGAAAATACATACATACATATATATATATATATATATTCATACATAGTTGTATGTATATCTCTCTATATATTGTTTGGCGGTACAAGTTCAAATGGCGCACAAAGGGGCGAGAGGTCAATTAGGCATTTGTGCTGCCTTGAACTTCAATAGATCTCTGTGTGTGTGTGCATGTCGATGTGTGTACATTCAGTATGTATGTTTGTGTGCATTGAATTCTGCCTAGATGATCCAATGTGGTCCCAGCTGAATCGTTAGCCAGCGCCATCTCCATCCCGCGGCTCCCACTGGCTTCGCCCTGCCTGATGCAGCGCATCTGCTTCCTTGTCCGCACTACAACCCTCCCGCCTCGGCACGGCCGCATGTCAAAGCGGGTCCGTGACAACTGGTAGCATGTCTGAGGAGGGCACCGGAAAAAAAAGGAAACAAATCTCAGTTGTGTGTCTTGTTTTTGGGAATCGGACCCCCAAATGGTGGGGTGTTCTGGTGGTTTCCCTTCAAAACGAAGCGCAAAGGGTACCAACTCAAAAAAGAAACAGGCCCAGTTGGGAAAATGTGGTTGCAAGGCCCCAGTTGCAGTTGGATGCTACTTATCATATATAATATATAATTTCTACATATATACGACATGGTACCGCCAAAAACTCAGCTGTCTCAAAGAGTTTCAGGTGAGTCCTCTCAGGGACCCTGTTTAAACTGAGGTTCAAACATGTCAACAGGTAGCCCGACTTTGCTGAATAGTGGACCCCCCAAAGCAGAGTCACTTGTAGGGGTAAGGAGGCGACCCCTGAGTCCCACAAAGGCCCAAGTATCATGGTTTGGGCCTAAACCATTGGAGCAAAAAAGCAAAAAGCACTCTGAAGCCATATCACCCAGTGGATCCCAGTTACGCCTATGGTACGTAAGCAAACATTGCCCTTTTCGCGTTGAAAGGGTGGTTCCCTTGGTTACCTACTATACCGGGAAATGGAACCACCGGGTCAAGTACAGTATGGGAGTAAACTATTAGGAGTTGTTCAGCCCCATATATTAGCTACAGGCCATAGACCCATATTTTGCAGGAATTTCAGGGTACCCGTTCCCGCTTGGCACGTGGCTGGGTCGGACTCTACACGCCCTGTGGGTGGCAAGCCCCAAACGGTAGCCAGGACTGATACCTCTTTGTTTTCTCACTTCTCGAGTGGATTGGCAACAAAAAGTCCAAGTCAAGGAGTGAGTTTCACATGATGGTTTCCCTTTGATACCTACTATCAGCTTCCCTCTAATTGGTGATTCGGATTGAGCTCTGGCTCAGGGTCCTTCCAGTGGTAGAGCTGTGCCACTGAACCCCTGAGGGTTAGCCATGTACCGTCAAGTGCAGGCCGGCAAGGCCGCACTTCACAGGCTTGCCGCAGGAGATCCTGCACACAACCTGCCGTTCTATGAGCCGGACCTCAAAGAGATCGAGCACGGAACCCTGGTCACCCTTCGATGCAAGGTGCTTTCCCAAGGGCCTGAGGGCCACGTTGCAGTTACTGGCTTTCGAGGGGTGGTGTTTCGACTTCGCCTGACGTTGGCCCTGCCTTGTGAGGAGCTCACCCTGTTTGGCTTTCGTGTGCAGCATGGAACGCATATCACACTGGAGCAGGTTCCCGGTAGCCATTTGCATCCGCACCATGCGCCCAAGCATGAGGACCTTCTGCAGGTCATAGAGCTGTGTGCTGGCATCGGAGCCGGAACTCAGGGAGCCGCCGCTGCCGGCTTCACTGTTGCCGCTGCAGCTGAAATTAGGCCACCCCTGGCCCAGCTGTTGGCGGCGAATTGCCAGGGGCACGTCGTGCAAGGGGACATCAACACCCCATACACCATCCAGCAGGTTGCAAGGGCCGCGCCCAAGGCCAAAGTGCTTAGTGCTGGAGTGTCATGCCAGCCATACAGTGCTGGCGGTGATCGCCGGTCCGGGGCTGATGAACGGGCCTGGACGTTAGCAGGCGCATTGCAGGCCGCAAGCCTCCTTGGCTCCCATCTGATAGTGCTTGAGTGCGTCAAGGAGGCCGCCAAGGACACATATGTCCAGAAAGCCGTGGAACAGTACTGCATTCTGCATGACACCTGTTGCACACAGCAGGTTTTGGAATTGGCGCATGTGTGGCCATCCAAGCGTTGCAGGTGGTGGTGTGTGATTTCCGCCAAGTGGATTGGGTCCGTTACCTTGTGCGACCTTCCCAACCGTGAACAGCACTGTGTGGTTTGCCAGGTGATCCCACGTTCGTTGACCTGGCCGGTTGAGGAAGAAAGTCAGCTAGAGCTAACCCCTTATGAGCTTCGCAACTTTCGTGATTATAGCCAAGGCTTAGATGCTCTAGAGCTCAAAGCAGACCAGATCGCACCCACTGCATTGCACAGCTGGGGCAATCAAGTATACGGTTGCCGGTGCGGATGTAGATCCCAAGGCTTCAGCTTGGCCAGAATGGAGCAAAGGGGATTGTGGTCCCCATTGATCCGTCTCCCAGGCACCGTCACCATTGACGGTGAAGATGTGCCGAGGTACCGACACCCTCACCCCAGGGAAGTTGCTTTGCTCACAGGCTTGCATCCGGACATCCATGTCGGTGATGACATGAGGCTGGCTTTGTGTGGAGTTGGTCAGCTTGCATCCCCGTTGCAAAGTGCTTGGATCTATGGTGCGATTCGTACCACACTGCAGCAGACCTTCTGCGACCGTGAGCCGTTTCTTGCGGGTGAGCCACTGCTCAATGCCATGATTCAAGAGCTTGTGGATGCTGCCGCTAAGCTCGGCCACCCGGTGCCTTCGCACGAGCCTGATAGTGAAGATGAGTTCCGTGACATCGCCAGGAGCATTGAGCTGCAGCCATCCCCAAAGCGCCGTAGGACATCCACCGTGTGGGTTTGTGGAGTCGGGTCTTCTAAACCCACGCCAGTGACGGTGCCTGAAGGCACTGTTGCATCACACATCAGCAGTGCCGAAACCAAAGTCCTCGGTGCTGGGACCACCACGTGGCCCCTGCAGGACCATGCCGAAATCTTGGCAGGCCAGCATGTGTATGTCACCCTGACACAGCCATCGCCAGTTGAGACCCTTGCAGTCGCTGCATTGCATGTCCCAGCCAGTGAAGGGGAATCTGAGTCGCCTAGTGACGCCAGGTCGGCTGTGTCGCCTTACCGGGGTGCCCCTGGCTCGGCATCAGCCGTTGAGCCTGCAGCTCCCACCAGTGCCAGCCACCTCCGCGACCTTGTGACCGCTACCGAAACGTTTGCCATCCAGAGTGAGGTTCCAGTTGAAGTGCAGGTCCAGCCCACAACCTGGAATTTTGCCGGCGGTCAGCTCACCAGAGAGCAAGGCCACTTGTGTTCCATCCCGGTGCCCAAAGCCGCAAGTGCAGCGCGTGCACATGAGCTACGCGGTGTAGTTATCCGTGTTGAATCCAGGGTCCGCATTCACAATGAAGCCGGGCCACTGTGGGCCGACGCTGAGATGTTGTTCCACTTGCAACGCATTGCCAGTGTTGCTGGTCAATCCCTGCACTGCCTAGTGGTTGATCCCATTGTGACCACCAATGCAGCCCAGTTCGAAGTTCCCGCTCTGCAAACCTGGTGGAATGAGGCGAAGCCTACGTGTGGTGCCATCATCATCACAGCGGCACAGATCCAAGAGCATTGGGTTCCCATCGTGTTTCGATTCACGTCAGCAGGAGTGATCGTGCACACCAGAGTCACTGACCCAGCCATGCTGTTGCCTATCCGTAGGCTGTACCAGCAAGTGCCTGTGACATCCAAGCTCAGATGCCCTTTCAGTTTGAAACCCGGGCAGCACCCGCCGACTATCACTGT